CTTCCCCGAATGTGGGGAGGGTAGCCGTCAAAACCTTGACCGCGTTTTGATCCCGGTCGACTCTCGAGAGGTAAGTATTATTATGTCTGCTATTTATTCTTCGTCCCATCCTGCTATCGATATATCGAAAACCAAAACCTGTTGTGCTCTGCCTCATCCCCATCTCGTGTTTCCCTAGCTATATCTTTTCTTCTGTATACATTACACGTCTTATCATCGTCGTCACCACTGTCTCCATGTCATTGCTCTCCCGCTCGCATTCGTGTTGTCTTACGGACTGCACCAGTCTTTGTGTTACCCTAGTCTGTACATATCTCTGCCACTTCTCATTGTCTGTCTGTATCCTCACCTCATCTCACTACCATCTTCTCATTTTATTTACCTCACCCTGTCGTCTTACGGACTACACACACTGCATCATTAGTTATATCTTTCCTTCTGTCTGGGTTCAAGTGCTGTCGTTGTGTTGTTTTTGTACTATCCAAATGATATGCGGATCTCGATACCGCTCTTTTAGTAACGCCTGCGCTTGATCAGATACTCCAGGGTCTATCTACTTTTGCGTTAGCTTACTTGTGCAGGAACTGGTACGTCCCGAGTCTCATACAACGCTTTTAAGTCGCGTCAATCACGTGTATTTGACCGTTGTATGGATGACTCAAAGTTGACTTGAAGTTTACTGTTGATGAATCAAGTAGGAGGGCCTCCCGAAGAACCTGTTCCCGAAGGCTGTCTGTCTACATGAAGGTGAGGAAGTATTATCGGCAAGACGTTTTGAGCGTCCAACTGGTTCGATGGCGTAGTTGGTTATCGCATCTGTCTAACATCAACGGGCCCAAACGTCAAGAGTTACACAGAAGGTCCCCAGTTCGAGCCTGGGTCGAATCATTTTGAAGGCTCCCTGCTCTTGATATGTTCGTAAGTTTTCCTTTGAAGTACGAAAGATGTCGGTTGAAGGGGAGGGAGTTGACAGAAGTCAGATTGTGGCTATGGTCGTTGTTTCGGGAATGGAAGGCTCACTTTCCGGCATTGGCCGAGTCCACCTATGTTCACCGTTTTGAGGTGTCTCTGCCTCGTGATATTGTCACACCGTTCCTCAGGCCTCTCTCGAACATCTATGTCGAATTTTCACGAACCACACCGCGTTTTACAAGAGAAGCTTCACATAGATCTCAAACCCCAGTCGGCAACCTTCGTCCCCATCTACGAAGTATCCCCACAACTTACCTTTAAGAGCTATCCAAAATACCTGTTGTCAACGACGCGTCGGGTCTGACGCGTCACAGACGTGTATTTGACTGTCAAGCACTAGCTCAAGCTTACTGATATCTAACTTGATCAGTGAGATGGAGGTGAATGAGAGGCTGCTTTTCCGCATCAAAGGTCCAACAATTTTGTTAGTCACTCAAGGTTTGTCCCGCAGCTAGTCTCCGTCTCAATTAGACTATGCATGATATGACCTAGAAGGTACAAAAAATGACTGTTTCCAGTAATTTCTATACTTGTGCTTCTTGTTGGGACCCGCCTGCTTCTGTACGACGACTGAAGAACCTGATGGTCGAAATCAAGTTTGACGGCCCTTCAGAGGTGTACCTCGCTGACCCAATACTACGATAGACGTAGCACACCGTGCAGCTGCTCACGACGATATGAGGAAATAAGCCCCCGGCTCGGTATACTACCGAGATTCTATCGATAGATAGGGTGACGATGAGCGCGATATTGGTGGTATTCATGACACTGAAGACCGAAGTATTAGTGAGATTCTTCCTGGAGCAGGGGACGATGCACTCACAGATAGTGAAACTGTCCATCTTCGTACAATGCCTTTGAGAACTTGGGAAGGTTTGCTCCGGAAAGATAGTGTTGGATTCTTTTGAATCTGGGAAGTGTCGGTGGTCCTTCGTTCAATGCCATGCCCTCCGTGTCGAAGGTGTACATCGTCAGAAGGCGATATGACACTGCCAGAGATATCGCATTGCTGTTGAAGGTGACAGCGATCAACACGGTTCTGCCATATTCCAGATGAAATCCAGTGTATTGGCAGTAGGATGAATCTGGGATGGGGCCTGCCCTGACAAACGATGGAGCCAAACCGGATTGAAGACCGAGTATGGCCAACCAGAGCACAAAGAATGCTCTGACTATCCAAGGACTGTCCAGAAAGACTGCTCGGAGGCGACAGAAAAGAAGTAAATGGAGGAAAGTGCCGTATACTACAAAGGTATAGATGATGAACCGATTGAGGGAATCACAGTCCAACACGGGGGCAGCTAGAATTTCAGAGTCAGCTTCATGAAACATAGTATGAGAGCAAATACTGACTAAGGAGTATCGATTCGGAAAGAAAGAAGCAGACGGTGCTCAATCTTTGTCGTGGTAAGCTCAGGACTGGCTGAAGCGTAAGGCGCTTGCCCTACCTTATTAGAATGAAAGATATTGTTGCAATGGAGAACCGTGTTGCGGATAGTCGAAGATAGTCCAAACGAAGATTGGTGACCGTGTCCCATAAAATAGCCTCGTAGAATGTGAGCGGAGATGTAACATTTTAAGAGAACTTGGGGAGCTCACTGTCAGGCATCCGACTGTGATATACGCGAGATGTTGAAATTCCGACTGGTCTTTAGGGTTACCGATCATTGAAAGTGCAAAGGGAGGGTTTGAGCGGGGACTCGTGCAATCAAATTGGCCCTCTTGTCTTTATCTATGTCGCGGGTTAGTACGAAGAACTAATTATGCACCGTCACACTGACAATGGTCGAAACCTCGGCAGAACCCTCGTGATGTCATTGACCAAATGCGATACAATCTCCAGTCGGGGGACAATTTTGGCGTTTGCGGGTCGCACTGAGTATAACGAGTTCACTGAACGCCCTCGGGTTTGTGCGCTATTGTGGAGGGGGCGTAGAATACTGGTTCGCAGAAGGACCCCGCTGTAGTCTTCGGCGAGGGTGGCTCTATGACAGAGGTGATGTAGTAGACCATTGGTCACCGTTGAACAAGGAGAATATAGCAATTACATCCAATTGGCGGGTATGCTGTAGAAGACAGCACCCACGGCGGATATATCGGAAGGGAGTCATCAGCTCGTCGATAGAACCAGTCTGATGATATCTTGTTGGTATAGAAAATTGGACACTAACCACAATCTCAGGTCGCGGTGAGTCGGGGTTATATGATCCGACTGGAGAGAAACAGACGGCAAGTCACTTTGAATCTCTCTTTCTATTTACTATCCCAAGATCATGACAGCCTGAACATAGAAGCCTTACTAGCGGTGCTGGCTGGAAGAACTTAGAACAGGGCAAGCTGGACAATTGAGGGTCGCAGTTAGCCGCATTAGTGAGTCAGATCTTCACACCCCGAGTTGATGATTTGAATTGATGAGTTCACCTTGCTACTCAATCCATCTACTCCCTCGACCTACCTCTCAACCCAACCACTCTTGAACCTGGACACCTAATTCACCAACTCACCTGGCAACTGAAACTGGCAACTTAAACTGGCCACTTGAACTGACCTAACCTGCAGACTTAATCTCGCAACTTAATCCTGGCAACTTGATCCTCCGACTTGATTCTGCAACTTAATCTGGTGACTTAATCTTGTGACTTAATCCTGCTACTTAAACTACTGATAATATCCTTTGATCTAATCTGTTCACTTGAACTGTCAACTTAATCTGGGGGGTTGAACTGTCTGGATAAGTGTTGTAGTCCATAGAGTACATAGGGCAGTACATAAACTGATGCATTAATCTGGATCAATACAGAAGTGATCTGACCGCCCATGGATCAAAAGACCTTGTTCAATGCAAGGTATGATGTAGACCACCATCATCTCTGTGACATTGTCCTAAAGCGATGAACGCTAAGACTTCAGATACAGAGATGATGGCAGCAGAAGTCGTCTAGTGGAGATGACAACAGAGGGCAGAGACAGCGAGCAAAGAGCAAGTAAAGGTCTGGTCCCAACGACAAGTTAGATATATTTTAGAGGAAGGAGAAAACAGAAGTACTACTCACCTGGTCCCAACAACAAGAGGTCAAGATGAGAGACCAGGTGTAAACTACCTAGCTTATATACTAGAATGTGAGTCGTGCGAGAATAAAGAAAGATAATAGGGAACAAGGGGAGAACAACAGTAGTCCAGGTATAGAACAAGAACGAGTCCAGAACGAGTAATTGTTTTATGTAAAAGAACAGAGAGAACGATGGAAACAATAGATGGAAACAGTTGTGAAGGTGATGTGAAAGAACAAAGAGAACAAAGGGAACAATAGATGGGATCAGTTATGGACGATGTGAAAGAACAAGGAAGGAAATGATGGGAGTGATGTGGAAAGGGGAACTGGGTATCTAGTGGGCATCAAAGTATCAAACAGGCGCTAAAAGAGGAATGGGCGCTAAGAAAGGGAAAAGATAGGGGGAAAAGCAGCACTTCATGACAGACATCTGAACAACAAATTCCTGATCCAGCCACTTCCTCTCTTCTGTCTGTTCTAGTTTCATGCATAGACACTTCTAACCTCTACTACTTGCCACTGGCCAACTCTTGTCCTTATTCCTCACAACTTGCATTCTTGGTGATGTTCTACACGATGTTGAAGCCCTCTCATAAAAAGGTCTTTCTGTGGGTGACATGTTACTGTCACAGCTGTACAGCCACAGGCTTGGGGTATGGATGGATTGTCTTGCTACTTAGGTGAGTAGTTTTCCCAGTAGCTACCCTTCTCTATTGCAATGAGATGGTGGGAACGTACCCACAGTTGACATTAAAAACTTTGTGTAAAGTTATAGACCAACAGTACCTGGAACAGACCAGTACTGAAGTCTTGGCAAAGGGAGGAACATACCTCCTTTGCTTGTGTGTGAAAGACAGGATCGACAGTGCATCCCCTTTCAAATCGAGCTATTCAGGTCATATCTTGGTGGCTCCAGCGGTTGGATTGTCCCACTGCCTGTACACTATGTATTTCTTCTTGCCCTCCTGCTTCAACTATTGATCCACTCTTCCACGCATACTGATCTCCACCCTACTAAGACATAGATTCTGGCAATCTGGAATCACTCCCATTCCTTCAACAACTCTCTTCAGGCAATGACAGCACTTCTAGAGAACAAGCAGGACTTCAACAGCTCATTATCTGCAGTAAGACTGACACCAACATAGCTTCCAAGCAGCTGCAGCAGGTCATGGTTTGGCTTGCTGAGTTGTATATTGTAGTTGATGTTGATGGAGACGTTTGAGTCTCCAAAATATTTGTCGATAGTCCCATCAGCAAGCTTCCTTCCTTTCTCCCACTCCTGTCCAAGATCCACATTTCTGACCGTGGTGTCTCCAATCCACTCAATCCCTAGGACACCTTTGACACTAAGTCTTTGGTGCCTGTGATTGAGATGGGGGTACTTTTCGAATATGATGTTTGTCATTGTGCTTGTACTGAGCTTTTGTGCAAGCTGCAGAACATCAAAGTTACGGGAATGATCAAGAGTAAGACAGTTGCCAAAAATCATTTTGAGACAATTGGTTCTCTTGAGAATAATGAAGAGTTTGGCGTTACAGTCCACCTGCTATATACGTACAATGAAAAATATGATGGTCTTGACAATTGACTGAGAATTGGCATATAGGGTGCTCATCATGAAGGCGGTCTTATGCCTGATATACAAGGTGGCAATAAGATAAGCATATGCAATAAGTGATCACACCTGCATTGAAAGTATGAGGGTAGGGTTTATGGAGAGATCAACAAAGAAATGGAGAATCTCAGCCATAAAAATAACAGAGTTGTGTTCATTGATTTCAGTGGGGAGCAGTGTGGGTGGGGTTGGCATATCAACGAGTTTGTATAGATGCTGAATCAGCTTTGTAGTTTTCGGGACAT